TGATTAATTTAAATAATATAAAGAAGTTTCAATTACTTGTAAATTGTATGTAAATATAATGGATAGGTACAGATATATGAGGAAAAATTTACTTGATAAAATGAAAATTCATTCAATATGCTATGAAAGACATCGCGAATTCTAAATATTATGAAAAGTGATAAATAGCGGCGGTGATTAATGGCCTTCGTCATTTGGGCCTAAATTATATCATATTTAATACATTTTTGGGCGCAAAGCGGACACTTTCATTTACAAGTATCTATTTATCTTCTTTTGTGTAGTAATTACGAGGAGCCGTCTTTTTTGGAGCTTTTCCGAATTCGTCGCCGTTTCCGTATTTTTCAGGTGGCAAAATGCATTTTTTATAATTATAGATACATTCACTTGATATGTATGTAGAAATTTGTACAGTGTAATAAGAATTATACCTTTGTTTATAACATTTCATTTAAATACTGTCTATAGTTTACGCGAGTAGTACACATTTAAATAAAATACTGGTCTAAACAACTGACCACGGCTGCTGCAAAGCATCCGAAACATCGGGCCGAAGTTAAAAATCATTTTCAAATAAGTTTAACTAATATATCGCGTTTTAAAGTGTTTTATTTAAACATTTTAATTATTTAAAACGTGATATTTTTAACAAGACTCGCTTCAGTAACTACGAACACGATTTTAAAGTCCGGTGCTCGATGCTCAGTGGACGCAAAGAGAATTGAAAGTGGAGCTTTACCTGGAAGTCAAAAGGCATATCCAAATCAGAGTTGAGCTATAATCGGATTCCGTACAAACGGGCAACGGTCATAATTAAAGAATTTCTCCCCTTTCATGCGATTAAAACGAAAATTGACGATTCCTGTTTTAATTATATAATGTTTTACGTAACAAAGTGAACTTTGGTATTCATGTTCATAGTACATATTTTTCGAAATGGACACTTGGTTAAAGTATAAATGATAAAAATGCAGATCGTACATCTACCGAAAATATAAGTGAAAAGTATTCTCGCCTACGGCCTGAAATTCAAACAAGACACCCCTAATTAGAAGATGAAATTATAAACAACCCGGTGTTTGCGAAAGGACCTTTGTAAAAAGTGCTCTGAAAAAGACAAATAAAACTCCACGTTTTGTTTTGGTAAATAGAAATATTTCCTTCCTTTGTAAAGTAAATTTTAATTGGTGACGCGATGTATTCATCAGTGAAAATCCCATCGGAATCGGTTCAGTCGTTATAAGACAGGTGAATGTAACAAATAAAAAAAAGTTGATTTTTACTGTTTGTACGATTACTGTATGTTTTTTATTGGGCAGAAAACTTAAATTTGTAAGTATTAAACTATATAGATAATTATTACTTCAAAAAAGTCTAAAGGTTTAATTATAAACGTGTTTTTAGTGAACTAAATCAATGATAACACATTAATATAAAAAGTTCAAGAGCTCTGTACAAGTACGCATTTTACACATTTCGACGCAATCAAAAGGCCTCAACAAATCAATTTGTTTCGAAATTATTACTCGTATAATATGCCTTGATAGTTGAGGTATTTCAACAACTAAAACCGCAGAAATTCAGCCCTTTGTGGCTTATTGTTCTCATGTAACTTGTATTAAGCCTTTCGCGTACACAGTATGGAGGCTTTGTTGGTACCACAGTACTCGAAGGCAGTTAATATTAATTCATAACATTTCTCTAAAACACAAAATTCGGTGCTGAAACAGTACTGTAATATAATACTTTGTTGCTGCCTGTTCGCCTTCTAGTAAAGACTACTTTTACATTTGTTTCCATATTTCGGTAACGGGTAAGAATCTTAAGAAACTGTTAGGTACCACATACATTACAGGATCAATGGCTAACCAATTAATTGACGGAATATTCTTCCCATACAGTAAATAAAACGTAGTCCTTCCTTTTTGAAACACTGAATATTTTATACCTTAAGCTCCGTGCTGTCTGCGAAATACATTAAATGAGGTGGGTGAGGGGTAGATTGAGTTTAAATAATTGGCGCCAAGCGATTGGACGGCGGAGCATCGGAAAGCGGACAGTTATAGTCAAAAGTGTTTACGGATCGAAATTATTACTTCCGATTAAAAAATGCCAATTTCATTCATATTAGTTAGTTTAGTCTTTTGTATATTTAACAACACCGGCTTCCCAGATAAATTATAAAAGTTACTTTTATAAAATTTTATTAAAAGGCAAAGGTACAAACTTGGCACCTTACTTAGGAGAGTTTTAGAGTGGCATATACACAATAAAAATGCCATTAATTTTAGCAGTATATAATTGTAAGCATTGTGTGTCATTAGTATGTGGATCGTTTACTCGATAAAGTTCACTGAATACTTAAGAATGTTGCGGTATTTAAGAATGTTTATTTATGAATTGAACAATAATAAAACCAAAAAGACAGAAATGCGTTCGAAGTATGCTTCATATATTCGCAAAGGTGCCAAATCCATACATTTACATAGAGACGTCTTATTTGTATCTTGGGAGTACTTTATCAAGTATCTCTGTTAAGCAGCAAAACATAGTTGGCAAAATTTTTTACAAACAAAAAAAATATAATCGCACTTCGAAAAAAATCTATTAATGCAATTGATTGACTGAAAAATAACATACTTTAAGAAGTATCTCTCTATATAAGACTCTATCTTAGAGACGTATGTTACGGGCTTGTTCCGTAACTTATAGTAAGTTTTCATTTCCCCAATACATTTTCTCGAACCTGAAGGTACAGTTCAATAACCCCATAATGCAACTTGCTACATTGCACTAAACAAAAGTACCCAAAAAGGGTCTTTATTGCCCCGTGTTAAGGGCGTGAATTTTGTGTAATGTTATTAAGTTCTCAATTCTCTGGAGAGGAGGGTACAAATTGAGAAAACAATGTATTGCAAAATGGCGGTAAGGGCAGTAAATGGTTATATCGGGAGTAAGCAATACTTTTACCTGACTCTATTAAAGTAACGGAAGCATTGTGTAGTATTTTCAAGTACTAACATATTAATTATTAGGTTTATTAAGTTATAATCTGTTGACGTAGTTTTTGCTTACAAGAATACCAGATCTCCATCAACATGATATATCTAAAATAGCTGGTGCTAAGGCTATGAATGGCATTTATAAAGTCCCAGTGAACAAATGTTGAACTGAACCGAAAATTAAACTAATATTATTAGATCACCGCTGAAAGGCGAGCCTCTAAGGTCAGCCATACCTTTGCCTAATCTAAGAGGCTTTTGCGTGTATTGTATTATAAAAAACTTAACGAATATCTTTATGAAAACATGAATACTTCTTTACAAAGAGCAAACTTAAATCTCGCTTGCGCACTAAATATATTGTTGAAGAAGAATGTATAATAAAAGAAGTATTAATATTTACGCTGTCTAGTTCTCTTCAAAGGGATTATAATTCAATTATAACTTGAGCAAACGCTCCGATATTCCACGCTAAACGAAATTACTATAAGTGTTGAGGTTGTTTGTGAAAGAATGAATTATTCAAACCCTATTAGCCTAATATCTTATTCGTCAGAAAAGTGATGATATCTTCTTAACAACAATTCTTATACAACGTTTTTTTGTAAGTTTATAACACGAAAACGAGCTGTTGTGGGGTAGGTGTTTTTATAGATGGATTCCATTCACATTTTTACAAAACATTGCTTAGAGCTGCCTCATGACACTCTTGGAGCACCCGGACTCGGTTGATCCGAAAAAAATATGAACTAATTACAGCCTAGTATCGTTGTCATTATAACAACACATCTAAGTGTTCTATTTAAGTTAAATAAAATGTTCTATTTAAATTTTCTATCCTTTTAGCACATCTAGAATATCATAGAATTAATTTCTACATTAAACATATTTTATAAGTTTTTCTTCAGCCAACAAAATAGGAATAAAAGTTTTTAAAATTACAATAATTATGAAATTATATTTAAATCAATTTTAACAAGTTTAGTAATTAATATTGATTAAATGTTTAACAAATTTCATTTACCAACGTTAATTTCCACATTATTTTAATTCACTTCAGTGTCATTTAATTCCGCTGAGTGATATCCAAACTACTAAAGCGTCCAGTGGCACTTGGGTCGTCGTTGGGATAATTCTTGCAAAAATAATTGTTTTTTGCATTTCAAATCTTTTGTGATTGGCTTAGAAGAATTGTGGGCGTAATTCCCGGCCTTAAGCTTGCTAAGCGATTCCCTTCGGAAAGTGGTAAAGGACTTATTTGGGCGATTGTACCATGAGACTTCATACGAGTAGCCATCTATCTATTAAACGGGAGTTAAAAGCACAAAATATTCACTATTAGCTGTGTCAGCGACTTCGTCCGCGTAGAATAGTTATTTTGGGCATCAAAATTGGTTTTAATCTCGTCTTCACGACGTCGGTCGTGTCTCGACGTTCTTACGAGTTAATCTTAAAAGATAGACATATTGCGTCGCGGGCATTTTTTTAGATTATTGATGCTGAATCATTCTTTCATAAATTTTTTTGATATCTTAAACCGTTTTCGCAAAGTGCATATCGGGAACCCTCAAAGATGAATAAATTTTCCACATTTCCCGCTGTTTTGCTATCATGGTCACAGCGCGATGTTTTCTAGCTATAGCCTTACTCAATAAATGCTCGCAGTAGAGCAAAATCATTTTTTAATTCGAAACAGTCGTTTCAGAGATATGCGAGTTCAAACAAACAAATTCGTCAGCTTTTTATATTAGTAATAGATAAATTTCAATTAGGACACCAATACAATGTCGTTAACAAATATAAAATAAAAGAAATATTGTTATAAAAGTAACTATTTATTTTCAAATAATATAAAATATAAACTTTCCTTTTTTTCTTAATTATGGCAATACATGTGGGTAATACTCTTCAAATACTGCATCCCAAAGTATTACACCTTCACTATCAGGAGCTCTCCCTGTCTTTAAAGTATTTCCTATCTCCAGGTAATCTTCGTTTTCAAGGTACGGCAGCCATTTCCATTATCGGTGTCGGATCGCTAGAAATGAACAAATAGTTTTTTATCTATAAAAAATATTATCTTTTTCCTTGTTACTATCTTTTAGCTGAAGAGATTAGGTTATATAACTAATATAGTTAAAAAAAACGATGACAGTTTGTAGCCTTTTTTTATGATATCATTTAGTTGGAAAAGTTTGGCGATTGTAATAAATGAAAACGCGTAATAATACGCGAAGACAGATGAGCCTCTTTCCTCGATTCTTTCTTCTTCTTCCTTCTCCTTCGATGACCAAGTCTGGTGCAAAGCATTCGAAACATCGGGCGTTAGTTGAAATAAATTCTAAATAAGTTAGATAATATAATTCGCGTTTTAAACCGTTAAAAGTGATTATTTATATTTTTACTAGTTTGGCTTTTTTCTCCAAGTCTTACAAGAGATATAGCGTTATATATATTACGAATACATTTGAAACATACCCATATTTTGCAAAGTTTGTCCAAAGCGTAGTTGCTCTATCAATTATTCGGTATGTTTCCGAGTTCATATCGACGTCCATTCCTAGTGGAAAGAAGTAGGGAAGGTCGTCAGCGTGTCCGACCATTAGCCTCTCCGTAAATAATTCCATAGCGTCGTTAGAAGCATTGACAGCTATATTTCTCTCCGTTTTGCAACCAAATTTGTATAAGTATATTTTATTATTATTATTATTTTTCGCAACAAATCTTTGCCACGTTAGAGCGCCGTAGACAAACATTTCAAAATTAATGTATTTCAGTAAATCTTCAATGTTATCTCGACTTACTACAGCATTTTTTAAATAATACTCTTTCATCTGTTTACCAATGTCCAACTGTTTTAATAAAGAAACTTGTCGCGTTAGAGGTTCGGGTACGTAAAATTCTAAGAACTGATTAGCTTGTTTAAATATTCTGGAAATATTATATCCACTAGCAAAATAAAGCGTACCTTCATCCTCCGTGTATCCATTTATGACATCCACGCCGTCATGAATTCCATTTCTTAATACATCATAAACGTCACCTTGGAAGAATACTTCATTGTCTCCGAACTTTTCCTCCGATACGATTCCAAAGTAAACATTTGGTGATTCTTTAGCAAATTGGGCATAGGTGACAACTACCCTACTTTTTAAGAACGCTTCGACCGGTTGGACCTTAAAAAAATTATATATTTCTTTGTCATCAGTGGAATTGCACCCTATTTCTCGAGCCAATTGTATGGCTCTGTCTCTCGCTCTGAAAGTATTAGGCCACCAGCTATTGGCAGTACCACTTTGGGATATCGCCCTCTTGAAGAGTCCCTTTGTCATGGGTGAAATTAAATGATATGACACACTTGCTCCTCCAGCACTTTCTCCGAAGATAGTAATGTTTTCAGGGTCACCACCAAAATGCTTAATATTGTTCTTTACCCACCTCAGTGCTGCGACTTGGTCTTTCATTCCAGCATTTCCTGGAATATCTTCGGTTCCGAGACTTAAAAATCCCATAACCTCAAGCCTGTAATTAAATGTAACGAAAACGACGCCCTTTCTGACTAGAAATTCTGGGTCATATTCATCACCTCTACCACTCACGAAACCGCCGCCGTGAATCCATACCATAACAGGATATAGTTCGTTTGTGGTAACGTTCGGGGAATAAACATTGATATAAAGGCAATCTTCACCTCCTTTAGGCGGAGGATATGGTACAATGAACATATCATATTGATAGCACGGAGAACCGAGCCGATCAGCTTGCCTTACTCCATTCCAAGGTTCTATTGGTTGTGGTGCCTGCACAATGGATTCAATTTTTTAAATAGACTGTTTAGCGACAGTCAAGTGATAAATTACCACCAAAATAAAATTACCTTAAATCGTAGATCACCCAGCGGAGGCTGAGCGTAGGGGATACCTTTAAAGCTATGAAATGGGTCTCCATATTTATTTTCTGATATTTCGCCCTTCAATATACCATCATCTATTTTCACCTCGATAGAAAAAGCAGATCCCAACGATATAAATATAAAAGCTATTTGTAAAAACATAGCGATAGCGAAGAACTTTGATCAGAATTGGTTTAAGATACATCTTTTATAACCTTTTCGCGATTCATATCAGTGATATCTTCTATATCTTTACAGATATTGTAGAAACCTCAGATTCTATCCTTTACGGTAATAATGAATCTCATGGGTTCGTGGCAGCTAGCTGCGTCATACCACCGGTCACACTGCACGGTCTTGGGTGGTCTTGATTATATTTAACACTTATTAAATTGAAAGGAATACCCTTTTCTCTTCGAAAATAGTGAAGGCTCTTCATGTAAACCTAGACAACTGAAATATCCACAATCTTTAAGATAAATATTACAATATTTTCATGTCAAGATACGTCTTATAATTTTATTTTTAGAACGTGCGATTAAAGCAACTTTATCATTTTAATTACATTGACCAAGATTTAAATTGTAAATTTTATTTAAATTATGAAAGTAAAGTTCTTTTTAATACTGACCTATATTTTTAACTAACTACAATTCTTATTATTGTCTTGTGCCAGCTACTCAGTTAGGATTATGTTTAATCCCTAAGCTATAAGTTTCCATTTTGCGATGATACATATATAATCTTAATATTGCTGCGGTATGTAAAGTTCTACGAGCTTCACAAAGTACACGGCCCCATCCACTCCCAACTAATAGTTTCGACAAAAAGGATTAAAATTGAATTATAGCAGCGAAGCGATCTGCGCTGCATATTCATACTACTTTGATTATAAATTTAAATTCCTGTAAAGTTCAAGTATCTTTTACTAATAACATAATTATTATATTATTATCACAATGAAAGCATAGTATACCATAGTAGTTACGTACTATCTGTAGTTTACGCAGTTAGTAAAAAAATTAATAACACTTAACGGTTTAAAACACGGCATTAATTTTTTACGTTACTACGGTTTGACTGCAAAACTTCCGCAACATCCAACCGTAGTTAAGACAAATAAAAAATAAGTTAACTGGTATATTTTGCATTTTACACCGTTAAAGTGTTTTATTTAAATAGTATTAGTTAGTTCATCTCATTGTGGGCCCAGGGCCTTATACATTTCTGTGTTCTTTTCAATGAATGAGTTTACTCACAAGCATAATTATGGTATGAAAGTAATATTTAAGTGAAACACTTTTAATGGTTTAAAACGCTAATACTATCAGTTTACTTATTTTACCTGCCACAAAATATCTTCAGGTGATAATAACGTGCAAGGTTAAAATGAAGTTAACTAAATTTTTTTTCATTTTTCATACCGTTTTAGTGTTTTATTTTAAGTACCATTCGTGTAAACTACAGACAGTATATTTAGTTAAAAATACGATTTATAAATTTAATTTTTTTAAAGTGAGACAAAATCTTCTTTATATTTCAACATTATGAACATATATATTTTATTGTTTTTCCAGTTGTTCGATAACGTTATCCACCTCATTATTATCGACTGCATTCGATTAAATGTTTGTAAGGGTAGCTGCGAATCGTATCTATACTTAATATTTGAACATTAATATTTTTCTATTACAGGTGAAGGTTTCAAAATAATATTCAACTCAAAGGTATATTACAAAGAACATAAAGAAAAAAAAACAAATGACTCAACACAGTAACTTACAATTATTAAGACAAATATATATTTCTATAAAACACGATTCGATTTAAAAAAAATCTAAAATTCGTTTTGAATACATTTATTCTGAAGCAACATAAGATTTACATTCAAACTTATTTTAACAAATTTAACTACATTATTCTTACTTAAAGTTAATGGAAAAATTAAATAAGTAGACATAAAAATACAATATTCATATTTATTTATAACTTTAAACGATTTTAAGATCTAAATTTGGTTGTCGTTAAGTCTTACCTGCGTAAATACTTTTCATTTATATTATGATTATGAACATTTCATATACAAATAAATTCAATAATATGCATATGAAGACTCTCAGCTTCTCGTGTACATGTTATTTGGGACTAATTTTACTACACTAGTACTCTTTCCCGTCAGAAGTCGAGTTTATACAAGCTCATTTTTTTATTATTACCCACAAAAATTAAACATTGATAATAGTAACATTTTAATTATAAAAACATTAGCTATTGAGAATCTGTGTTTAAAATACAGTTAATTTTGTAAAACGTAACTTGCCTTAAAATGTTACAGGATTGCCGTTTCTTTACTCAACACTAACGTAGAGCGTTAAAAAACATTGCGTCAGACGCGGATGTACGTAGGTTTTGCTTATAAAATTAACTAATACTAATTGCTAATATTAAGAATATACAATTAATCACCTTGAAAACAACTTGAAAATTATATACATTATAGTAATTAGCAAATGAATAAACAAAAAACAGTACATGAAATTATTTAATGTATCTTAATTTCGTCGAATTATATAAATAATAAAATTAGTTTCTTTGTTTTTTATTTTACTTATGCTAGTATTTTCTTGGACTAATTGCGTAATTTCTGTATACAATTATTTAGTATGAAATTTACGTTCATTTTATTTTTCTTCTTTTGTATTAGAAACTAATAATTAGCGAAAAGTCTTTGAAGTTTAAGGTGACATGTGTGGGTAATATTCTTGAAATATGTTCTCCCAAAAATCTATTTCTTCTTTATCAGCTTTAGTTTTTAACCGTAATGTTTCTCCAATATCCAAATATTGTTGCTTTTCGATTGTATAAGGTTCCCATTTTGCCTGGAAACTGTTGTCACGCGTCGGGTCCCTAAAAATTTATTATACTTGTTAATATATACTAATATAATATATTAAAATAATATTACATAGCCTCGGTGGCTGCAAGGTTCCTCGGTACATTTGATTCGTTTTGCAAAATATATCAATTTAAGGAATGTAGTGTATCTATTTCGACAAGAAAATCAATTTATCGGTAACCTACCGAGTAATAACTGGCAATTAAGTAAATCATCAGATAGTACAGACTACAGACGCCCTTGTCGATGCAAGATGCAGACGACACGCAGAAGCATATTTATTATTAAATATTTGTACAGTTAAAATGGAGGATAAAAATAGGTATGCACATAAACTTACGAACAGAAGGCCTACTATAATATTTGTACTGTAAAATACGTTTTATTCATAGTCTCAGGTATACGTCACTCACCCGTACTTCGCGAAGTTGGTCCATAACGTTGATACGGTTTCAATCATCTTATAGCTTGTCGAGTTAGGATGTACTTTCGAAGAAAACGATCTCAAAGGAAACAAATATGCGAGATCGTCAGAATGAGAGACTGGTCTTTTATATCCTAGAGCTTCTTCCGTCCCGAACACACTCGTAAAAACGTTCCTCTCCGAGTTACATGAAAACCTATAAGAATAAATCTGGTTTTTGTTCCTCTGCGCGCATATTTTTTGCCACATCGAGGCGCCGTACTTGAAATAGTCCATGCCGATAAATCTTATCATCGCATTAACGACCTCTTCGACGGTCTTTGTGTCACGCAAATAGAAATTTCGAACTCGTTTGCCGATTTCCAGCTGTTGTAGTGGCGTACAATACAACTCTAAAGGTTGCGGGACGTACAACTCGTAGAAGCCGTTAGCTTGTTCCAATAGTTGTTTTATATTGAGACCTTTCGCGAAAAGCACTGTTCCCTCGTCTTCCACGTAACCGTTTATCACTTGGACCCCTTCGTGAATGCCATCACGTAAAACATCGTAGACGTCTCCCGCAAAAAACCTTTCCTCGCCATCGAAATGCTTTTCCGATACGACTGTGAAGTAAACGCTGAACCATATTCTTGTATATTGGGTGTATGTTAGAGGTACTTGCTTTACAATGAGATCTTCTATCGGTTTCCGTTTAAAGAATTCGTACACTTCCTTTTCGTTGTTGGACTCACAGCCCATTTGCCGCGCAAGAAGGAATGCTTTTTCGCGCGCACTTAACCTACTGATCGCCCACGGACAGGTTATGGTCCCGCTTTGCATAATAGCTCTGTTAAAGAGACCTTTGCTCATGGGTGATACCAAGTGATAAGACACGCTTGCAGCGCCAGCGCTTTCACCAAAAATGGTCATGTTATCGGAATCACCGCCAAAGAAACCGATATTCTTCTTGATCCATTTTAAAGCTAGCACTTGATCCTTCATTCCAGCGTTTCCCGGTAATTCTTTTGTGTCCAGTGACAGAAAACCAACTACCTCTAGTCTGTAGTTAAGCGTAACAAGTATCACATCGTTTTTGACTAAAAATTCAGGTCCGAAAACTTCGTGATTTCCACAACCACTCATGAAACCGCCACCGTGGATGTACACCATTACTGCTAATGGTTTTTCTGGTTTGATATCAGGTGTGTACACGTTAAGGTAAAGGCAATCTTCGCTACCACTTGGAATGTAATCGGGCGTCTGTCTTGTGAAGAAGTCTATTTGATAACACATTGGACCATGCGTCTTCGCTTGATACACGCCTGGCCACGGCTGTTTTGGTCTTGGTGCCTAAAAAATGTAAATACTGTAAATGTAAACTTGGTTTTGTGAAGACGCTGTTAAACGTCGAAAGATCACATAGAACTGGAAACAATAATATGCTACTAGCGGCGCCTGTTTTCCAAGTTACTCAATTTACAATAATATTTATGTGTGGCCCTAAGGGTTAGTGTAAATTATAAGAGTAAGCTACTGATCTGTCGTACCTTAAACCTCAAATCACTTAACGGAGGCTCCGCGTACGGTATGCCTTTGAAACTATAAAATGAATTTCCATAATCATTTTCCAGTTGTTCCCCTTCCAGAATCCCTTCTGTAACTTTCACTTGCACCATGCTTATCTCAGACGACTTTTAATACTGAAAAGAAAACTACAATTTCAATTGAATTCAATGCCCGAGAAATTTTCCTAATAAATACAGAACCGTCTGGTCCAAGAACTTCACAGAACTGTATTATGATTCGATGTTTTCTTCCGCGTTTCGACATCTTCGATATCTTAACCCTCGATTGCTTTACTTCCGAGGAGACGGTTCAATATGTCGAATGCAAAGTGTTGTTTTGAAACGACAAACAAATACGACGGTGTTTCTAAGTTATTTTTGTTATTGGCCAATCGAATTATTTCTTTTATTAAAAACTACGAAACAGATAGTAAATATAAGAAATACATTTTACGAGCATGGCTATATAGTTACAAATTATTATTGAAAATGCGCAATATGTAAACTGCATTTAAACAACTATTTCTAGTGTTAATATACATAAAATGGATTAAAATTAGATACATTATATTGAATATTGACAATAAGTGAATAAATTTTATTGAATAAGCACGAAAACATAAAAAGAATTGTTGTACTTAGCAGTTACTAGTCCGCGTCTCCGAAGTACCTAACGTGTATAGTATCGTCGTTTCTGAACAGATATAAAATGTCATAGATTTATTATATATACTCCGTTGGTATTACGCGAGGCGACAAAAAACATTCCACTCGGCTATTATTAATTTACAATTAAATACATAAATAAAATGTTTTCGCGACGTGTGGCTCTAATTTTAATTATCAATTAAAACGCAAACAAAACAAGGTCTAACCTTAAAAATTCAACACGTGACAAGATACCACGTTTTCAGAAATAAATAAAATTAACATTATACAAATGAGTTCGACGCGACGTAAGGTTGATGGTAATGGGAGGTTAATTCGTTTCCTTAATAAGTCAATAATTAGTGCTACCTTGTACATCTATACTAGTATATAAAGCTGATGAGTTTGTTTGTTTGAACGCGCTTATCTCAGGAAATACTGGTTCGCAATGGAAAATATTTTCGACAATTATCGAACGACAGTCAAGCGCCGAGCGCTCGCAGCGACTTGAAGGAAATAAGGAAAAGGAGCTAGGAATTCGTGAACGCGTGCACGGGAAACAGTAAGACAGACAACGGTCGTTAACAGCTAGGACGCGCAATACGATTTTTTTTCTAATTTATTGATTCATGGTCGTTTTAATTAGCATGCTTATAATTTAAATATATGTATACCTATATATGTCTACCCGTGCGAAGCCGGGACGGGAGGCTAGTGATGAATAATTTTCCCCGTTTTTTTTTTCAATTCGAACACATACTTCCCTGAGATTAGCGCGTTCAAACAAACTCTTCAAATTTATATATTAGTATAGATTATGGGTTTCCGAGGACGAACGGTTCACGATATCCCAAAAATATATATAAAAAAATGATTCCTCTTTAAATGATCTAAAAAAAGCACGCGACGATGTATATGTCTATCTTTTAAGATTAACTTGCAAGAACGACGGGAAGGGACACAACCGACGTCGTGGGTAACATCTTAAGTTTATAATAATGAAGCGGTTTGCAAAAACGAATTAGGATGCCCAAAATTCTCGCGGACGAAGCCGCTAAAACAGCTAGTTTTATATAAATATTAATGCTTTTGATAACATTTATAAGGTCTTATAAACGATGTTATTGTTTAACACTATAAGGTGTAACTTTGACTTTCATATTTAATCAAACGTTTGCTTCGAAACCTTAGCCAAAAAAAAAAAGATTTCATACTCTCACATATCCGTTTGTAATATTACTTATATTAATGTATACTTTTATAAAATGAAATTCAAATAGCATAAGTACTTGAAGAATTTAGTTTATTTATGCGTCACGATTTCCTTTATAATGCATTTATTACATTTATCAAAAGAATACTCCTTCAGTCTTCTAAATAAACAAACGGTATTAGGTCAACTGGTTTGATATATAGTCTGAATAGATAACGGCAAGATTAAAAATATAACATGTTATTTAGCTATTTTACCCTCTTCTACACAAGGTCAACTGCCAACTATGCCACCATTAGAAACATGCTAGTATTCTAAATTGCTTTTTATTATTTCTCGCCCTAGGCCCATTATTTCTCGACCAGATTTTAATGTGAAGAATCATTGTTCTCTTACACGTAAATTATAATTAATTTACGATTTACTTCTATATCTGTGTCTTAACCTATAATATGTGCCACATGTTAAAAAAAAAACTATTACTGCAGGAGTAAAGAAATTAGTTTTATCTCGTTGAAGGAATTAGAAATAAAGGGAAGTTGCAGACCCTTAAATTCCTTAAAATTATTTAAATGGGCTGGTTTAGCCTAGGGTCGATCCAGACTATACAAAGATCATATTTTTGTTAATTTGAACCGTCATAAGGTAAAAATCGAAAATAAATTCGAACTATTTTCTACTCGGGCAGGACCTTTGACTCGGTAGCTCAATTGGTTAAAGCGACAGCACGGAACGCTGATGCCGGTTCAAGTCCTGCCCGAGTCGTAATTTTTTTCAATTTATTTTTAATTTATATAGTGCCATCGTGTGCTTATGAAAAATATTAAAGTTTTCAAGCATTAATATGTTATATACAGCATTGTACCTCATGTGGTCGTTAATGACCCAGTTGTCAAAAGAGCTGATTATTTTTTACCTATGTTTCTCACGATTCGAAATCAGAGGACATGAGAATGTGGAAGACAAATGGGCCAAGTAACGATTTAAATGTTGGCCACCTATAACTTGAGTTTGTTGCATAATCCTAGTCCTTTGTTCCAAATAACATTAGGTTCCATTAGGATACTAGGAAGGGTCATTCTCATACGTATGGGAGGATTTGCCAAATTATTATTGCAGGCGCCTTCCAAAAGTTATTACGGTTCCAGTATTTCTGCGTATTTAGCTTGAGACATACAACTTCGTTTTAACTACTGCCCGATGGTCCTGGAAATTTTGCAGCAGCCGTGGTCAATTTCATAATTATTATTTTTTTATTTAAATGTGTACTACTCGCGTTATCTAAGACACTATACGTTTTAATTTAATATTTATAAGTAGGTGCTCATACAGTGACATACCTTTTATTTCTATTTTCGTTGAATATAATTAGTAATTACTATCACCCACAATTCTCCACTTTTTGTCTTAATTAACTAATTATGTATAAACAAAATGCAAAAAATTCAGCTGGAATACTTGCGGTTTTATAAGTTATGACACAAAATGTGATAAAAGTCGAAGTAGCGATATTTAGTATCTTTGGGCCATGAACATTGAACATATGAACCGTCTGTAATGTTTTTATTTTTATTATTCCGATAACGGGAGAGATTTTATTAAATTTGCACCAATTTTGCGTGCGATTGTTAAGATAGTACACATTTAAATAACGGCCGAAGTTAAAAATCATTTTTAAATCAGTTTAACTAATATATCGCGTTTTAAACCGTTAAAGTGTTTTATTTAAATATCGTTGTATTTCTAAATTCTATATAATTGGAGGAAAAATTATTTCAGCCTTTGTATCCTAAACTCAGTACACTTTAAATAAATTTGTTCCGGACAGCTCGCGTTAGGTTTAAAGCATAGCAATATTATTGAGAACTAGCATATAAATAAATAAAATATTAAACATTAGGAATGCGTTGTATGGCCATCAATTGTAACAATAAATAGACAAAATTAGTATTTTTTCGTGTATTACTGTTTTTTCGTTTTTCTTTATGCTTATATTAAATCTTTATACATTACTCACCATCTGTACCAAATTCATCATGATATAATAAAAAAATCATACAAATAGAGATTGTTAATTCGAAATTGCCCGAAATATTTCGTAGCGCGCGGTCACTGCCTGCCCACCCACCCGTATGTATATAGGCTTAAATCTTACAAACTACGCCACAGCTTCTAAAGCGTTTTTAAGTAAGTTTTATTTAAGAGGAAGAGTTTTGTGTATAATGTATAAAATTTTAGAGGAACATTAGTAGATTTAGAGATTTCCAATTGATAACGTAAATAAACACAATTCTTTGCACTTACATTGCAATCGCTGGCTGTGTATTGTACACTTTGTCTCTCTCATAAAGATATCCCTCAATAGCCCATTTTAATCCTTTATATTCGTGCTAAAAATACGAAGCGATTGTAGGTACCATTTTTATTCAATTAAGTACTTTAATACACTGCCAACAATTACCCTTTACATCATGTAACATAAATAAACATATATGACATGGCGGTTGCATACGTGCAAAGTTGGGGCGGGTCGGTAGTTATGAAAAAATACTAAATATAATATCGTTTATTTTATATAATGTATTAAGATTTTTTTGTCAATACATATTCATTTTATTGATAAACCTTAAATAAAATTACATTGATAACGCTAAAAATCTACAACATTAGTGTATCAATGCTGTCTAAATAAGAAATGTCAATAATAAACTCCTACTTTAGTTGAATTATATGTTAGTAAAAAGTATATCACTTGTGACGCGTGTCATTTGTAAAAGGTTAATTGATATGTGCATACTACAGTGTTACTAATAAGGGACTCCTACAAATTCATAAATTCTTTTCCAGAATCGGATGACATCTTCATCCAAGTTGTTGCCTACAGTAAGTTTTTCATCGATATCCAAATACGCTTTACTTTTTGTGTCGTATTCCGGCCAAGTGGTGGATCCCCATGAAGAGGGGGTTGGATGCCTGAAAATATTAAAAAATATACATAAATTAATTAAGACCAAACTAACACAGTAAGCAAATTAAGAGTTTTTCACATATTGCACATAATGGTACTATTTAAATGAAAAATCGATTTTAAATTGAAAATAATACTACACGGCCAAGACATTGAACCTAAAACACAAGAGTTACGCTGTAGCTTAATAGCACGGAACGCTATGGATGCCGATTCAAGTCCTGTTCGTGTTGTAATTTTTTTCTATTATTATTTATAATCGATTTTTATTTTAGTAAACAAATTAGTCAACAAAACGATGACTAACGTGTTTTAGACATACGTTTAAAAATAAAACGAACGTTTTGTCTCACGAGCCGTACTAAAAGATAACAATCTAAACTTATTAGATGTTTAAATTTAATGTTTGTATGGGTTAAATAACGACGTCTTAATTAATATTAAGCACTGGGAACCATCTTTTATTAGACATCATATTCGAAGTAATTAAAAAACCTATTGTTTTTATCTCGATAATAGTATATATATAAGTAAGGATAAAAAAACAACATTTTAGTGTACAACATACTTGTAACAGTACGTCGGTCCTCGGTGAACTTAGTTAATTGAATATTATAAATATTGAAACAGAATCTCACCTTTATTGCCCAATACTCGCTATCTTACTATTTCTGTGTGCAGTATTCTAAATAATAATTTAAAAACGAATGTAGACTTATATTTTAGTAAGGGACGGTATTTATACTCTTGTTTTACAGATAAGATATAAAGAAAAATAAACTCTCACCCGTATTTAGCAAAGTTTGTGAACAAACTGCAAAACTGTGTAATCATTTTGTAGCTTTGAGATTCTTTATTTACAGGGACATTTAGACAGTTCGCTTGAAATATATACAACAAGTCATCCAGATGTGAGGCACCCTGGATTCCATATTCCTTTCCGAGTGCGCCATAAACATTTCTATCGGTCACACAGGAGAATTTGTAGAAAAATGTTTTGCATTTACCAGTCTCGGCTAGTAAAGTGAGCAGTTTTTGTATAGGATAAATCATGACAACCTGCGACCAGAACCTCACTAGTTCCCGAGTTCGTGCTGTGCTTTCTTTCGATTTCAAATAGTGCTTCTTTATTAAGTCCGACGCCTGCAATATTTTAGAGGCCGTTGCGTTATACAGAATCCTTTTAGGTACCAACATTTCATCAGAATTCCGATATTTTGATGGTAAATCTTTGTCCAATAATCCAATAATTAGTTCTTCGCTAGTATACCCGATGATAACATCCACTTCGTTGATATTACCGCTTTTCAGTATATTCTCTGGTTCATCTGGTAGAAAAGCCGCGTGGCCTAAATTCTTTTCGATGACTGTTGTAAAATGGAACATTTTTATGAAGGTTTTGCCTGGCTCGCATGATAGAATACATGGGTTTACGTCAATTAGCTTTTCCACTGGAACGCTTTGTAAGAATTCTACTAGTTCATTGGGATCGTCCGTTTCCAAGCCCAACTGCTTGCCGAGAACGAATGCACGTCTTCTCGGTTCAAACGATTGCGCCCAGTCGCAGAATGGTGACCCGCTCATTACAATAGCTCTTTGGAATAATCCTTTGGACAGTGGGGATAAAACGTGTAAGGTCGTAGATAGTCCTCCAGCACTTTCACCGAACACCGTAACATTATTGTGATCTCCACCGAAATTAGATATGTTCTGTTTGACCCACTTAAGGGCGGCCACCTGATCTTTGAAACCAGCGTTGCCAGGAACCTCTTTGGTGTCCAAGCAGAGGAATCCGAAAACCTCTAATCTGTAGTTTATAGTGACCAAGACGACTCCATGGTTCACCAAGAAGTCTGGCCCAAAGAAGTCATCGTTACCCGAACCGCTTTTTAACCCACCTCCGTGAATAAAGACCATGACTGGTAGAGGGGCTGTCGGTTCAATATCAGGTGTGTAGACGTTTAGGTAAAGACAGTCTTCGCTGCCTAGATTTTTCTCGCCTGTGAATATGTCGTGCTGTGGACAAACGGGTCCGTGTTGGATAGCTTTTTTGACACCTTGCCATGGTGATAATGGTTGAGGTTCCTGAAAATATTAACATATTATATCAATAAACAGCAATGAAACAAATTCAGTTTCATAAAAAATGACTGGCTATTTTTTATCATTATTATTGATTTAGTCTCCAAATACATTATTAGTTAAGATGATACTCTTATCGTGTAATTTAGGATTTTAATAATGGTAGGTACATATTGAAGCTTATTGTGTTGTAATTATTGTAGGCAGTTATTAATTTGTAATAAGGAACTGGTTAGTTGATTGCTATACAAATGTTGTTCTCGTTTAACTTACATCTCACTTACTCACATATGATAGAAAATGTATGATATAAAGTTAGAAGAAACAAGTTTACTACATTTAATTACCCACATACCGGCCTTCATAATAATATACTTCTATTAATTTTAATGACAGAATAGGGCTCCGATAAAACGTTTAAACTGCAAAATTCACAAGGTTACGGGTTCAAATTCCAGGTAGCGCGTGAAAGTTTGGTATTTGTAATTTTTATAAGAAAACTGTGTGAGGGTTAAAAAATTATTACCCACCTATCATAGAATCTAATCATAGAACCTTCTAAGCGCAAGGTAATCTGTCCCAGTATGACATCATAATAAATATTCAACGTCTACATTTTAAGCTGTTCAACACGAATTTGATAAATGATTTCGATATGTAATGATTGATTAAATAAGAGAACACGACGACCATCGACGATTCCATCAGGTCAATCATTTAGATATTGGGTCATAAAATTAGAATGAATAGATTGATTTAAAAACATCGTGAATTTGGTTGTAATGCAATCTTCAACTGGTTCGTTAAGAGCCAGACATCTCTCTCATTCCGTCGACATGTTTTTTTGTATTAAAATGCATTTAAGAATGTCATCTTAAAATCCAATTATATTTTACTGTTCATTGTTAGTGTTATCATAGAACGTAAAATAATTCCAAGAGATAACACAATCAACCCGATTATGAAGAAACGATTGTCGATAATAAAGGAGCTTGTTAAATTGTTTATAGGCATCAACGATTATAGGCTACTGTATGATATTGGTCATATATTACTGTACTATAAAACATTGCAAACGCATAGTACCCTTTAATGTAATTTTAATTATTTTTGTATTTGTAAAACAAACCACGCATAATGACATAATTACTACTTTCTTTCTTTACCTATGCATCTATAAACTAATCATAAAATACATATAAATAAATGACTTTAAAGTCTAAGAAAACTTGTGTAGCCATTATAATATTATTTACTTTAAAGCTAAAGCTTTAAACTCGTTTGAATGACCTCGAGAAAGCCGTAAAATAAAAATAAATGTGCATCTATTTTTAGATTATTTGTCTACTGCTTATTAGCCGGTAGACATTAATACTTGTTAGATCGTTTATTGATAATAACTTATATTTTATTAATTTACTTACCATGAACCTCAATTTACCAATAGGCGGTGCGGCATAAGGGACCCCTTTGAAGCTGTAGTAATAACTATCATCAGTTATTGTTTTTAATTTCTCACCTTCTAACATTCCATAATTTGTTACAACTTCAACCATTTTTAAAAAAGCCGTCCGTCTTGTACGAGATCGACGTTTGGACTAACATCCCGTTTGCAAGTATTTATCAAATGCAGGATCTTTTTGTTAATTCGATAGCATATTAAAAGTTTTTGGAGTATGAGTTTAATTGTAACGTAGATATGACTGAATATAGTTAACAGTTCTGTAGTGGTCTTTAAACACATAAAAAAATTACAGGTCTACTTACTAATGTCTTGTAACGTACCTTCAATGTTGTCGGACTTTTGCAAATACAATAATGTAATATTGCTATGGAAACTCATACTGTTTTTGAAATATTAATTTATTTTGCTAATTTACACATTATAATTTTCGTTCTCCAAATTTAACTAATAATTTTGTATAAATGGTTTTACTTTTTTAACATCGCAATATCCATTAAACACCATAAGTAAACTTAAAAATAACTTTAATGTTTCATAGTCTCCTTATATATACGTACAAAAATAGCTAAAAATGTTTATAGCATCACTGCACTCCAGCTAAGGCGTAGATATTTTCCCAAAACTTAACAACGTCCTCATGTAGTCTAGATCCGGAGGTTAGATGCTCATCGATGTTTAAATAACATTTGCTTTTATTGTCATATATTGGCCAAGAGACGCCCAACGATGAATCTGGAGTAGGATTCCTAAAATACGATATAAGATACTGTCACAAGGAAGAGCTGACAAAATCGAATAGAAAAAATAGCACTCAAGAAAATGCATAATAATATAAGTTTACTAAAAACATATACCAATATAACATGTGAAGTGTAATTAAAAAATGACTTATATAGTATATGTATACTATTTCAAAATGAAAAATATATCTATCTGTAGTAGAAAAAGTATGGTAAAACAATTCGCTGTCACGGGCGGGACTCAAATCCACGAACAAAGAGTACCTTGTTTGTTACCAATTAAGTTTTCACTGCAATTAGATGATTTAACTTATAATGAAAAAATATAAGAATAAAATGTGATACTAACCCATACTTAGCAAAATTTGTAATTAACGAACAGAACTGTTGCACCATTTTATAACTCCTGCTTCCTTTGTCTATGGGAATGTTGTATAGGTTAGAATGAAACAAATACATTAAGTCATCAAGATGAGAAGCTCCCATAATTCCATATTCTTTACCCAACCCTCCAATTACGTTGCGTTCAGATACTGACGAAAATTGATAAAAATATGTATTAAATCTTCTACATTCACCTAAAAGCGCTAAGAGTTTTTGAATATTATGAATCATGACAGATTCCGACCAAAATTTTATTAACTTTCGCGCTTGCTTTGCATGATCAACGTGTGGAATTCCGTAGTGCTTTTTAATAGTGTCGGCAATTTCTAAAGCTTTAGATGGCGTACAGTTGTAAAAGATGCTTCTGGGCAAGAGCGATTCGTCATATTTTAAATATTTTTCCATCAAACTCTTATCTACCAAGCCGGCAATCATTTCATGACTGGTGTAGCCCATTATAACATCCACGTCGTTAAATTCTCCACTTTTGAGGATTTGGCCAGGATCTTTCAGCAAGAATGCCCTTTGTCCTAAATTTTTTTCCACGACATATGTGAAGCAATAGAATTTCATATAGTCCATGTTATGTTCCGATGTTAAAATGCACGGTTTTGTGTCCATGAGTTGTGAAGATGGCAGACCTTGCAGGAATTCTAAGAGAACATTTTCATCTTCTGTTTCTAAGCCTAACTCTTTTCCGAGGGCGAATGCCCGTTTTCTTGGTTCGAAGGGTATAGCCCAGTCACAAAAAGGTGAACCGCTCATCACTACAACTCTCTGAAAGAGACCTTTAGATAACGGTGACAGGACATGTAAAATGGTCGATAAGCCTCCAGCGCTCTCCCCAAAAAGCGTGACGTTATTAGTATCGCCGCCGAAGCGAGATATATTTCTTTTGACCCACTTTAATGCTTCCACTTGGTCTTTGAGCCCAGCGTTTCCTGGTACTTCTTTAGTATCTAGGCATAGAAAACCGAAGATGTCTAATCTATAGTTAATGGTTACTAAGACAACTCCGTGACTAACCAGAAAATCTGGTCCGTAATGATCATCGTTCCCCGAACCACATTTAAGTCCACCGCCGTGAATAAACACCATTACTGGTAGAGGTAATTTGGGTGATACATCAGGGGTGTAAACGTTAAGGAAGAGGCAGTCTTCACTGCCGGGTATTTTTTCAAGGTTAAATATATTCAACTGTGGACACACGGGACCGTGTTCCGTTGCACTTCTTACTCCTGACCACGGTTTCGGTGGTTGAGGTTCCTGAAATTTTGATATAATTTTAACTTTATACGTTATATAAATATACTCATGTCAACTAAATAACTAATGGATGCACGATTTTTCTCGAATTTGAATATTAATTAGATGTACTTTTTTGATGTTTTAATTTCATTTACCAAAAACCTCAGTTTTCCCACGGGAGGTGCTGCGTAAGGTATTCCTTTGAAGCTGTAGTAATCACAATCGTCGGAGACCGTTCTTATCTTTGCACCTTCTAGTCTCCCTTGCTCCACCGTCACCACAACCATTTTGTAAAATGAAAGTGAACTACTGAAAATATGTAGTATGAAGTAAAAAAAAAATAGTCTTTATTATAATGACGTTTAAACGTTCTTTAACTATTTTTTTTATTTATTAAACTTATTAACATTTACAATTCTTATTGTATTAATATTAATCAAAATCGGTAAAGAATTGTCTGGCGGTTGAAAATGTAAAATGTTTTATGTACCTGCAGACAAATATATATACATACAAATAATACCTGCCTATATACTAAATTTCTTTAAATTGTACCAAAAATTTAGATTTCTAAATGATAACACCGTATTATAACAAATATCAAGTTCGGAATCAACGTTACCTCGTCGAGGCCTCGTTGAAATTATCCTAGAATATGTTGAAGTCGAAGAACTAACCACACTAAGTCACGAATCAAGTTTGATAAACGTTAGTTAATATCCAAGCAGTCGTATTTATCTTGTTTCATCATCGACACATCACACAAGTGACCGCGAGACACGTCATACAGATTAGTACCTAATAATGAATCTTGCTCGCTTTTTGTGGCACCGTTAATAGTTAAACCGGTTCAACGCTGCATTGTGTTTAAAATGGAATTTAAATACTGAATGCATGATACTTTTCCCATGCATGAATTACAATGGAAAAATACTAGAACGTTGAAGACCTTTAACCTTACTTTTTTTTACCTTAACAGATAGTAGGTAATAAGTATACATATATATTCTTTTCGGCTGTATTAAAGTTGCAAAACCGTGTGTTGTATGTGTAATTAAATTTAAGTCAAAACTTATAAGAGAATGTATCAAATGGAAAAAGTTGTCGTTGAATATCGGTAATCGATTATCGACATTTAAAATGTTCTTTTCCTTTCACCATAAAAGTAGTTCTATTGACTACAGGTTCCGTTGAGACTCAAATTAACAGTATAAAACAAAGCCACACGAAGAGCAGATAAGAAACATTTGGTTTAAAATAATGGGCTATGTTTTGTTGTATGTTTACGATAGTAATATAGTCATTTTTTGTTAAGTACCCACACGTAGAACATGACAAACCATAATATATTATCTACTTGTGGTGTAAAAATAGATGATTTAATTAACAATACAGAAATGAAACGAGTTAGTTCCCAAAGAAAGTAATGTATTATACCTATGACATATGAACTATATGGTATTGTTGATATCTAATGATAGATAACACGATCTCATATTTTCTTTTCTAAAGATTTCAATAAATGATTGCCACAGGCGAAGTGGTGGGCCAGATCAACTCCATACTAAGTATGAACTATAGTAGTGGAATTGTGATATTTTTAAACGTAATCTACGGCTTTGTTGGTATTTACGAATAACCAAATGTGGAATTTTCGTTCATAACTTACAATAAATATGCAATATGCCAACAAATATTCCAATAGAATTACTTCGTATTGATCCAGTAAATATTTTCCACTTTTTAGGTATTATTAGTGATCGCAATATTAAGACAATAGTAAAGTAAATGTACGTCGCGCCAGTTACCTTGTCTTGTCAAATTACGGTCATAAATTGTTACAATTTTATGGATCACAGATTAATCTCCTATCTCACCACAAACGTATGCCGCCAGTTCTGTCATGAAACATCTTGTGTTTACAAATACTCATTCCTTTTTCTGTTTTGAACCTCGCATGCGCTCGCATTAATAAAATCATGTAGATTTGTATAGGGTTCTCAATTAAGCTTGTATATTAAGAAGTAAGTGTAAATTGTTAATGTTTTTGTTAAAAAAAAACGCCTGACGTTTAAATTTAGCAATGAATAATAGTAATGGACTTCGATTTTCATTTCATAAAATGCGTGATTTATCTTGTAATTAAAATAAAAAGTTTAATTCTTAGCGACAAGATTTGACTCGGGGAATAATATACCATAGTTAAATTTGAAAATGCGATATAAACCAGTATTTCATAAAAAAAAGAAAAATGTGTTAAGACTTTCTTGACCTAAACTATAACAATGAGACTAATTTTCGCAATTTTCTTTCCAGATAAACGTGCCTGTTTTCCGAGGTGAGTGCCTAATTTCGGCTCAACTTTTTTAATTCCGACGTAACAATGTTTCGTACCAATCCAGCGCTGTACGTTCGTGTGGATGGTTGCTGAATTTTTAATCAAAACCTGAAGCGCTTTCTGTGTTGCTTTAATTTACTAGTGAATATTGCTCTCCGTTTTGAAATATCCGATGCATACGATAACTTTTCGGTAGGATGAACCAAAATTAATACGTAACAGGATGGGACAATGCTTTAATAAATACTGTTAATATTTCATCAACGCAGTATTGAAATTCTTTGAATTGTAATTTTCACCGCTCTTATAATATGAACCGCTCAGTGCTTTGATGACAAGGAGCGAGGCGTGGGAGCGTTCTAGTTCTGGGCTGTCATCGATTTTTTTTTTCAATAAAAATAGTTTTACCTTTAAAGAGGAAAGATTTGAATTTTTGTTTGTAACGGATAAACTCAAAAAGCACTTGACCGATTTTAATAATTCTTTTTTCATTAGAAAGCTACATTATCACTGAGTAACATTGGCTATATTAAGTACTTAATTACTATTGGCATCTATAGAAATTCTGATTAAAACTAACGGAAGGCGTAAAAAAATTAGCCGTAGAATGTATATCTTCGTATACGCTGCGAATAGTATTAATGATAGGACAAAAAAATGTTCGACAATATTATAGAATTTAAATAAAACACGGTTTAAAGCGCGATATATTAGTTAAACTTATTTGAAAATGATTTTTAACTTCGGCACAATAAATAATTTAATATTCAAGACTGTCTCAGTACCTAATGATTCCTTTTTTAATTATTGAAATCGAACATGCCATTCAAAAGATATCATGAAATTAAAATAAAAATGCATTTACTTAAAAAGTTTTTTTCAAAGCTACTCAGTTTTAGTATTAGGAATCACACTTTGCATAATGTTTGTCAAAGTTCTTATCAGAATTATCGCTTTGAACTTGAATATTTTTTTTGTATTATTATTAGTTCATTCTTAATTTCTCTGATTTAAAACAAATATCCTTCATAGCAATATGCCTAGAAAAAGAAGGTCGCAGCTATCTAAGTATAGTTTCTAAGCGAGATTAGCAAAAGTTCGTCGTATCGGAGTGCCTTTTCCTCAAATAATCGTCTGGAAAGTCTGGAATCTATCGTCGAACGTTCAGGTTCGTCTTGGATTGTGATTCATGGTCGTTTTAATTAGCAAGCTTATAATTTTAATATTTGTACTTATTTATGTGTACCCGTGCGAAGCTGGGACAGGGCCGCTAGTAAACTTATAAAACGAAATAAATGTCCATATACAATGTCTTAGCTTTGATTACCTTTAATTGGTACAAACCAATAAGAAAACTTATGCTCTCTTTCTGTCCTTTTAACTGAAGATTATATACGCAATAGCGCTATTCATTCCATAAACTACCAAAATGGGTTTCTGAACACCACATCTTACTTCAAACTCTGTTTCTCTTGTGTTGAATCTAACTAATCAATGTTGGCCATTTAATAAAAATATTTATTTTTCTCAAAATTTTACTTAGCTAATTTGATATTTTGTTTGTTTTTTAAAAATAAAGAACAAGATTGGCGTTTTAAGAATTTACACTCAGCTTAAATATTTCAATTTTTTTGTTAGAATGTCAATTGTTAAATGATACATTAAGAAAAATCAGAACTAAATGTCTATTTCGAATAAATGAAAGCAATTAAATTAGAAATGACATAAGAGCCATCTACCGGCATTGTTTGAACTTTTGTTTAAATTAGTCGTATCGACCGACCGTTTGGAACCCAGAAATTAAATGACAAACAAATTATAAAAATAAATTATATACCTGAGTTAGTTAATCTGAATAAAAGCGGTTAACTTAGTAACCCGCCACTAGTAGGTGATTCGTGCTTAAAGAAAAAACTCAAGAAATAAGAAGACTTCTTTTGTATCAATATATTCTATTAGTTATTAACACAGTCAGACTTTATATCCTTTGAAACTACATACAAAAATTCTTACGAAACAAGTTTGGTTTGCACGTAGTTTTGTAACGTAAAATGTGCAAATAAGAAATCAAGGACCAAAAACATAGAGCGGTGCGCGATCCCTCAACTCCAACCTGGCCGTGTACTTCATGTTCTGGATTTCGTTCTCTGTCAAAAATTCCACTCTCTGCAGCTGACCGTTTGGCAGCAGAACGTAGTAAGTACCAATACTTCTTTGAACGTCTAATGGTCCGTCCAACTTTTCAGTATTGGCTTCAGGAGGGCCATACGTATTCTCCGGTGGACCGTATGAATTGTCAGGGGTGCTGGTCTCTTGGGGCAGGATAAAAGCTCTGTCTGGCTTCCATCCGGAGGGAGGGTACGGTGCCGAAGTGGCTGGCGGGTCGTAAGCGTCATCGGGCGTACTAGTAGTCTGTTCTTGCGGTAATGTAAAGGCCTGTCCTGCTGGCTTCCATCCAGAAGGTGGATATGGACCAGGAGGGCCGTATGTATCAGTGGGAGTCGCATCAGTCTGATCTGGAAGCGTGAAAGGTTCTCCAGAAGGCTTCCAACCTGACGGTGGATACGGCCCGGTCGTATCCGTCGTGGATTCCGTAGGAGAATCTGTCGTGGTCGGAGCTAACTCCTGGCGTTGGAACCTGAATCTCGCCGATCGAAGGCGAGGCAGTTCAGCTAGGGCGCTCCCAATCAAGCAAAGAACGATCACACACTTCATTTTGACATCTGACGCCAGTTATACAATGTAGGAGCATTTATAGGAAGATTCATCGTTTTATTGATCTTTGTGTATCATAAATGGTACGCTGAGGCCGCGGCGAGCATGTGAGTATTCGGATCACGGAGTAGTGACACTGAACCTATGACGTCAAGCGACAATGGGTATCCCTCGATGAGTCTACAGTGTGTGAGCGATACTTTGCAACTATGGTTAAGATGAATGAAAAATAATCTATATATATTTGGAAACAATCTTATTTCCACATATTTATTATAAAATGATCATTATGGAATGTCCATGTCAATTTAATACATTTTAAAAGTTTAAATTCTCAATATGATAGAAAATAAATTAATAAGAAGTTAGCTTTATAAATTGCAAACGTTATGTTCGTAATAATAATTCCAGTACATTGTCTACTATAAGACTGATATAATATTGAATAGGCAAGGAGGGTGTTCAAAGCTATGTTTTGAGTTGAATTCATTCTTTATAACGGGAATACAATAAGTCCAGTCTACAAGATAGAGTTTTGGTATAAATTATCGTTCACTTAATCAAAGTTCGAATTATACACGTTTCATTGTTTTGACTTTTTCAATTCAAGTTGTAACATTTCTCATTTTGATCTGGCTGCTTTATTTCCGACCAGCTTGTCTTCTAGATGATTCCTTTTGTAACTTACCTACAAAATTATTCAACATATTAAGAAAATAACACAAGATAAACAAAGTTAATTTAATTTTTAAGATGAGGAAACATTATACTGTACACACGCACAACACACAACCCATTTGAAATTTACTTTACGCTTTTTATTCAGAAATAACATCTTTTTATAGAAGACGATATCCCTTCATATGACATAGATTTCTAGCCAACTTGAAGCTTCAATCGGACTTAATTTACTTGTAAAGCGAAGAGCTAACTTGTAGAAAAATACAAAAAATCCCTTACGATAATTAGTAAGACCGACAAAGTAGTTGTCCTTAACGAGCCAGAAATTGATGATCCACTGCACGATGCCTCTGCTGCTAGCGAAGGCAAAGAGCAGCGCTATCCAGGTCGTATCCTCCAGAGTAGAGTGCCCTAAATCCTGCATCATCTGCCACGGGTACACCTTGATAATCCATTGCAGGTTTTTACCGCCTTGGTTCATGTAGTCTAGTATTGAAACTGGAATTATTTACTACTGAATAGTATTTAAAGGAAAACTTAGTTCGGATATCGAGTTCGCACAAAAAGATCTTTTCAAAATGTACCCTACGTAATCGGATAAAATTAGAAAAAAAAGTTGTTACATTCTTTAACATGTCATTTTATGTCAACCCCATGCATATCTATAATATATAAGTATTGTTTTAATTTAGAAATCATTTATTTTATTATAATATGTAAGTAAAATATTTTTATGTCTATTTGACTAAGTCGAGTCAGTTACAACCGCTATAAAATAGGTACGTTCGTTGCGAAGATCTTCTCATATTACTAAAACTTTACCATCTCGATTTGATATTAATAAGCTTTTACCGCAAGTAATAACCGAGGTACTCGTGTAAAAGCTTTCAGCGTCGATGCGGCCACGAAACGAGCGGTTAGCTACCGTTAGGAACCTGTCAAACGCCAAACTCACAATGGAATGATAAATTATTCCGATGCAGTTGCTTTATTTTGTTGTGAACTTTGTTTTATTATCGAGTTAGTCGGTGTTATGACTTCGCTCGATCCAACTATTTTAGTTTCACCGAACTAACTCTAAAAGTACAACGCAATTTGCTAATTTGCAACACAATTAACTAGACAACAGCTATTACTAACAACTAGACAAGTTAAATGACTTTGTTTATTTCGATGTTGATTATTATCGGACTACCTGTCCGTACGTGAATTCCTCTTTTTGTCAAAAAAGGTTTTAGACAAAAAGAGGATAGAATAAACGTGAACTTAGTCTATGGAACGCGTCTGTAGCCGAATTGGTAAATATGTTGCCTAGTGTTGTTTTGAACGTGAGAGGACCTGGATTCGAATCCCGAGGATAGAAAGGAGTTTATAGGGCACAAAGTATGATCAACGATTTGCCTTATAACAGCCGACGCAGAAAGTACTTGCCCTACGCCGCACGGGGGAAACGAGATTTCACCGTTTTTAGGCCACAGAAATGTTTTAACAATATACCAAGAATCAAAATTAATTAATCAATCATTCTTATTAAATGCATGTCAAATCAATTTAATAAGTTCATACTTCAAGAATTTATTTTACTATTTTATTGGTTTTATTGCACCTTTGCATCTTTTTAAAACAGTTGATTTTACAATTCTCTGTTGTTACACTTAACAATTATAAAAGTAGTTTTTGCTGCTAAATGAGATGAGTACAAAATCACATGTGAGTTGGTTTCATAGCCTACTCTTAGTAGTGAGGAGCGTAAAGGCCCTATTAGCAGCATTTGATTAGAAGTGTAATACTGTCGCTAAGCTGTTGTCTATTGCTTCTGAATGTCATTCGAGTGTGAATGTGTTTGATCTCTAATCTCGATGGGTGCGTTTGATAATTCATACGACATACACCATATACATACACATAAACACATCCCTGCTTAATGAATTAAATCTACAGACTAGCCGTATCAGCGATCCAAATTTGTTTCTGCAAACCTCTTCATATTTATAAATTTAAGCTGTTGCCCGAAGGCGCGTCGCATCCGGACCCACTGGTGGCCCGGGCCGCCAACTACACCGTTCCCGTTAATACACGCTTTTATATGCATATTCAGTAAGTTTGAGAATATGTAGTACCTATCCTTATTTTTAACAGTTCTTATAGTAATGTAATCTTTTCTCATTCCGCTCGATAACTTATCAATTATCACTTGATAAGCTATAACTCTAGGTGTCTGGTGTCACTTCTCGTCCACGTAAACAGCACGGAGTAAAGCTGAGAGCGAAACTGACTATTCCTGATCCTTTACACAGAATATCGTTTAACGAATCAAATTTCAGGTTTTAAGTTCAATGACATAAAATACTAACTTTCAGTATCAGTTTCCGCAACATCCTGAATGAACATAGCTGTAAAGACCACATCGGCTCCCAGCATGGCCAATCCGGTTAGGGTAAACGGAACTATAATGGCGTAAAAGCCACACGGTCGTTTACCATGTGTCACGTTTACGATGCTGAGGACAAGCCAAGTTATGTGGAGGCACAGCCAGACACGCATAGCACTGTAAATAGACAGACATAGTACACATTTAAATAAAACACTCATCGGTATAAGCGCGCACATGAAGGCACTATATAATTTAAAACTCGAAAATAAATTTCCGGCAGCGTTCCGTGCTCTTGCTCTAAAGCACCAGCACGGAACGCTGACGATGCCGGTTCAAGTCCTGCCCGAGTCGAAAATTTTTTTAATTTATTTTCGATTTTTAAACTTATCTTTAATTTAGCTACGGGTCCACGTTTTGGAACCTATGCAGCAGCCGTTGCCACGGAGTGTAAGTCTCTTAATCATCATCCATCTATTTCTTCTTGTAGTCGTACAATTTTCTTCAAAAGAAGAGAAGTAAAACTTTCTTGCTTTTGAAAATAAAAAGATTAGTTGTGCTCATGTCATTACAAGAACGGTCGTAAATATGTGCAAAATTGTGCACGCTCTGCTTAAAAACATGTGTCAATTATGTTTTATTTCACAACTGCTGCATTCTATGTTAGGAAATGATATTGTAAAAATAGTATTGGATGAACTTCGCATTATATAACGACCGAATAAGAATATATAGACGAACATTTATAATGTATAGATATATTAATAATGTGTTTAACAACAATGGTTATTAATGATGCACATTTATTTGTAATACTGGACAGACAATTTTATATGGTCCCCTTTGACAGTGCAAAATAATACTCGTATGAATTAAATGAGCAACAGGTTTATTAATACAATATTCTGTTACTTTTTACATTACCTTCTAAATTTAGATGCAATCGGATTGCTAATTGGCCACATCACTGTTGAGAAAAGTGTATCTTCCTTGTTTCGTATTGTGAAATTGTAAAAGTGGATTCTTCCGCAGGCTTCAGGGTCGTAGAGGTACAACAGCTTCATTAGCGTCACCTCATGCAGCTCGCTGCTATCTGGTGCTAAGCGGCAGCTCAGGGTCAACCAGCTCATAATTAGGCATATTACACCTAAAAACTTTTTGATCATATTACACTCGTTTAATCTTTACAACGCAAATATAAAATATAAATGCAGAAGATACTGATTTCATTACACGAATAGCGATGAGTCGTAGAAATAAGTATTATCATACTTGCCGTGTACCGAGTTGAAAATATTATTGAAACTAAACAAAATTTGCGTCTCGTAAATGTATAATAATTAACTTTTTACATCCTTGTCCTATTCAGTTCTACAACTAACTCCGGACTAATGGCCTCCCAAAACAAACAGTCAAAAACAATTTCAACTTTGGAGCGAACTCACTTTGATAAATTATCATTACAATGGTCCAAATTCCTAGAGAGTTCATCTTGTTTACGCTTCACAATATTACTATTCAATTAAAAGTTGATTTGGGACATTTTAACTAAGTTAGCGAGAGAGAGGACAGTTTAGGGACAAACGATTTCAAGTAGGCCATGAACCAATTTAGCGGAATTGGTCGGACCCGACCGGGTTTTGATATAAATTCCTAAATTAATGGGCCTCCTCTCGCTGACGCCGTGGTAATGAAAAATTTAATGCCTCCCGATTCAGTTTGAATTTCTTTCAAGGTCTTAAGATTGTCCCATTAAATGAGTGATAATTTTATACGGATATTTTCTAACGATGTACTACTAATGGAATCGTGAAAATAGAAATCAAACTTTAAGCAGGTAATATTAGTTTTATAAAAAAATAATGAAAACTAAAAGAACGAAAAATAGATTGAAATATGTATCAAATACTGTCTGTAGCTTACGCGAGTTACGAGAAGTGATATATAAACTTAACTATTGAAATTATTATATATACTAGCGGCCCTGTTCCGACTTCGCACGGCTAGACATAAATAGGTACAGATATTTAAATTATAAGCATGCTAATTAAAACGACCATGAATCACTAAATTAGAAAAAAAATGTATTGCGCGTCCTAGCTGTTAACGACCGTTGTCTGTCTCGTTGTGTCCCGTGCACGCGTTCGCGAATTCCTAGCTCTATTTCCTTCAAGTCGCTGCGACGATCTTGCATTTTGCTCTGCAAAACGAACCTGAACAATCGACGATAGATTCTCTGGCTCGCGATTGGGACGCATACAATTTAACACTTTCTAGACGATCATTTTAGGAAGAAGATTCTCTAATACGACGAACTTTTGCTAATCTCGCTTGGGAATTATTCTTAGATAGCTGCGACCTTCTTTTTCTAGGCATATTGCAAAATATGAAGGATGTTAAACTTTTAAATCAAAGCGAAATTAAGATAAAAACTTTACAACATTATCAAAGTGTGATTCCTAATACTAAAACTAAATCTTGAAAGAACTTTTTAAGTAAACATAAAAATTAAAAAAAACTGCCCACTGCCCCTCTATCGTCGAATTAGTTACTTGACGCGCGGCGTGTATTTTAATTTTAATTTCATGATATCTTTTGAATGGCATGTCCGATTTTAATAATTGAATCAAAAATTAAAAAAAGAAAGTAATCATCAGGTATTGAGACAGTCTTGAATATTAAATTATTTATTTGGATAAAAATGTATAAACGGTATAGATAACGCGGTCTGATTTTGATCGCCATTTCTATTAATTTGTTAAATGTAAAAAAGTAGTTATAACGACGTAACTACAATAGTTAGACATATTATGCTCTCGTAATGTTTTTTGTAGATATTGATATATTCTATAATATTGTCGAATATTTTTTTGTCCGTATCATTAATTATACTTTTGCGGAGCGAAGAAAGACATTTTACTTACGGCAATTTTTTTTACGCCTTCCGTTGGTATTATTAAGAATTTCTATAGATGCCTTTAGTAATCAAGTACTAAATATATCCTATGTTACTTAGTGATAATGTAGCTTTCTAATGAAAACTGAATGATTAAAATCGGTCCAGTACTTTTTGAGTTTATCCCTTACATACAAAAATACAAATCTTTCCTCTTTATAATATTAGTATAGATTAATTAATTTTCAGTACGATGATAGATATATGTACATAAACAAAGATATATATCGCGTTTAAAACTGTTAAAGTGTTTTGTTTAAATAGAAAATAATTACTTTCCCTAAGCATATTAATTTATATATACCGTTTCAAAGTTACTAATATATTAAGATTGTTTGATTGACTTGTTCGTGTGATCGTGTGATTGAATCTATATTATCTTATTATCATTCACATTTACTAAAATATTCTAATATTATCTTTACAATTGGTACCCAACTCAAACTTTTGACAAGTAAACAATATAGGCTGCCTACCACAGCATGCCATAATCTAGTCTAACAAAACACTATTTTGGTGTTCGTATTATTCCATAATTTGCACAAACTACGTTCTCTTTATATGTGAAGCATAATTAAAACAATATATCGTTTTTTCATTTGTCAATTGTAAATAATTCTTCGACTTGACATCGAGTGATCAATACAAAGTGTAAATAAAAAAATAATTTCTAATATTTTTGTTTATAAGAATGTCAAAAGAAAAACGACCATTGATTCTTCTTCTCGACCGGTTTAAAGTCTCCAGTTCTATAGTACAGCACCTTATCGTCGAACTGCTCTTGGAACCTCGCTTCCGGTATCGGCACGTTCTCCTCTAACATAAATTTCTTTTTCACCTCTCTCCTATTTAACCCTTTCCTTATATTTCTGATGACTCTACAAATGTATACGTTCAGTCCAAACATTACGAAACCTCTCAGCCAGCAAACTGACGCGGCCATCGGTATCCAACCACCGAAGGTGTTGTAGTTGTCGAGTTTCATTTCAACGCTCCAACCGCTGTATCTTAATATCATGCCATAGGTCAGGCTTCGTTGAATATGAGCGATGTACACAATTGCCATAGAGATGTCGAATGAAATCACAAAGATACAACTGTAGAACGTCACTAATAGGATGAACTTTAGGTACCGGATTTTCGTGGCGAATCTCAAGATCCTTAAGCAGATCGCGATTATCATCCAGAAGCTGTGGATCACGATGCTACATTTGATGTATCTGAAATATTCATTTTTATATTATAACCGAATATAGTTTTTGAGCCACAACTAAACGAGAGTGGGTCATCGGAGTAGAAACAAAGTTTATAGTTAATTCTAATGTTCCATATAATTTATAACATAATTCGTACCTCCTCGTCTTTTCTGGAACCATCGTAGTCACTGTAACGATAGCCGGCATGTATTTGATCGGTCGTATATTTAGCCCATGAGTGTCGTTACTAAGTTTTAAGCTAGTTATTGATCTCGAAGCACGCAAATTGTAGCCACAGGCGTGTGGATCGTATAGGTACATAATGCGAATCAACTTGTCGTAGTCGTATTTCGAATTTTCTGGAGACCAGACACAGTACACTATAGTTGATGCGCCGACAAAAACTAAAATACCTAAGAGAATAAATCATTTTCGTAAGGGTTTTGACACCCGCGAGGTTGTCCGTACCATACAATACTAAATGGAATGTATAAACCAGTTGTATGTGTAGTTGTTGTAACGCTATTAAAGGGTGTCTCAGAATCTTTTTCGTTTTCGAATTGACCACTACGCGTCAACCGCAGACAGGAGCGAGGGTCGGGACCACAATCAAAGGTAAAGTTTACTAGCCATCATCGTTTCAGTGGACCGCGGTGCGCGATTTGCGTTATAGATTCTTAGTCCGTGGTGCCTGCAGGATATATTTTAATTTAACAAGCTTGAAACATGTGCCAAGTGTAAGTATCTATAATCTTCAAGAACTGCTCTTTAAAACGAGTTTTAATTGATATTGTTAGCTTTTTAATTAATAACTATCTAAAAACGAAACATATTCTGAGACACCTTTATAAAACCTAAAAATTTGAGTCAACTAACACTGTAAAATGATGACGTCAGAGACCCAGAGACACGTTCTCTTGTCTTTAGGAAGTAGGGAGACTGGTAGTTTTATAGGAGATAGCTCGTGCCTCAACATTATTTAATCACTCTCATGAAACTCCAGAGATATATTAAGAACTCGCGACATACATAGACAGTAACTTGTCAAACATTTCACTTGAATGAAATGTTGTGACATGTCATTATTTCTTACGTGCCTGTTTTGATTGCATCAGATATTCTTAATGTTAAAGTTTGTGTTTATTTTGATAATATTAACTTAATACGTAATTTCAAGTTATTTTATATATAAAGTTCTTATGTCACAATATTGGTTACCTTACTCCTCCGAAACGGCTTTACAAATTTTTACCAAAATATTTTATAAGCATATTTAGTAGCTCTGAAAATCGGCTACTATCTATTTCTCATACCCCTAAGTGGGTTTTTTTTTTATTATTTGGATATTTTTTTACAATGTTCAATTAATATACATACAATCCAAAATGTTTATCTAATCCCTATTTTTAATAGCTATTTTAGTACCGAATTCAATAATTTAGTAAATCCCGCTTGATAAAATTTCCCTAAACTTATGGATGAGCTATAATTGGTGTAATACAAAAGCTTTCTATTTTGGGCTATTTTTATTGAACAAATATATTTTTGGGATTTAGAATAGTTTAAAATGATATACATGCCCACATAATCAGAACCTGCGTAACAGTAAAATCGAAAATACCTTCAATGTTTCAATTTTTCATAAATTCATTTCACAAAAACCCATTAGAGGCACTACACTATCTCATATGCTTGTCGACGAAGATCGAGTATTCGAAATCGTGAAAATGGTTGGCATATACGAGTTAGTGTGTCGCGTCCACAAAGCATGTCAGTTTTATTTGCTAGAGCTACGAACTCACTCTGGCGTTCACAAAACGATTCGCTCCTTTGACTTATTTTTTTCCATTACGTTCCATTGCTTTTAGGAAACAGCGTTAGACACGCTTTTAGCTATCGCTCACTCTGTTATCCAAATATTATCTTTTCCTAGTAGACACTCAGAGTTCCTTTCTTCATTGAGTATAATATGGGTTTGAAAATTAGGCAAGTCAAGGTTTAAAAAAACATAGCGGTGAGCTTAATGGATGAATAAATAATCTACCTGGCTGGGTCTATTATAGTGTATGTACAAATTTATCATCAACGTAATATCATAATTAACTTCGGATAATTAGCTGCCTTGTTGAATATCGAAATCACCGTTGGAATCATAAAAGGTTTTTCATAAAATATTCAGAGATAAAAGGATTTTAAAATAATATTACGATCACATCACTGCTAACGTCAATGAAAAAGGCATTTCGTAAAAGGCTTTTGATGCAGTCTTTGTCGTGAATTTTAATTTACGCGGGAAATATTGATAGTTGTTAATTAACGGTAGACGAATTGTTTGTGTTTGTCCGTTTGCGAATTACGAGAACTCAGCGTACGTGACGCGTAACGCGAACATATTGATTTTTAATATTTTAAATTTTAGTCGTAGATAAACTATTGATCCTAGTTTATAGATGACCTAACACTATAAACATGTAGTACTGCTAATGGTCAAAAACCTTAAGCCAAGGTTTGCTTAACGGTGATGACTATTCTTCCAATTTTTGTAATCCCCCATGCTTAAGACTTTTTAAAGTTTTAGATATTCTGTGAATCCAATATTTAAAAGCGAAATTTCTATTTTGATATTTTTATCATGTTTTAATCCTTCGGTTTAGAGTAACGTGCCGCTCCCAGAACGCCAAAACGAAATAAAATGTATTCACTTTTTGTGTTCACTATTTATTTTGAAACAAGATAAATAACGATAACTTAAATTACAATACTAATAAATTAGGCGTGCATTTATCATTACAGTTATAAAGTTACTTACAAAATGGTACATTTTTCTCGTGTCAACGAAGAGGCCGATTATTATTAGACATCATGATTGTTTATGGCTCGATAAGTGCTGATAACCTGTACTTACGGCTAAAATTATCTTCGGGGCACGTACCGATAGCTCCTATTCTGACACACACTCTGGCACACTTTCAAATACCAAAACATCATTTCACCCAATCAGATGTGTAAACATGGATTTTTTCAGCTTTTCCTTTCTAAGCAAAAGAAAAAGTATACATTTCGAAAGGGTCTGCTAGTTGTATGTTATTTATCCTATTATTTCGAAATAATTTATAAGTATTAATCAAGTTATTAGTGCCCTTAACTTTAACAACAAATACACATACAATATTTAATTAAAACTGCTCAAAATGCGAGATATGTATAATTTAAAGTACAGCTCGACGTTTCGGATGCTTATGCTTTGTTTTTTAAACTATTTAAAGGGTTTTCTTTAAATGTGTAATACTCGCGTGAATATCCCCCTATATAAATGTTATCGTTACAGCAATTTATGTAATTATAAGTTTAAAGGATTAATTAACGCACTTAGAGGGCGTCCCGACGCCGCTTGCTCGATTCTTTATCTGTCCTACACTCTTGTAATTGAGAAGCATACAAATTGGATTCTTAGGTCTTTGTTCTGCTCTAATCTGTTAATTTTAATGCAATTAGACCTAAGCAGTGTTAGTCTTGAGAACGAGTAATTATAGTATTTGTAGAGTTAATTTTCAGGGTTAAGTACCCAAGGGGTAAACCCTTATTAATAAGACATCGTTATGTGTCTCTCAGTTGTTTGTCACCAGGCTGTATGTCATGATCTTCGACGGCTTGAACTATTTACCTAATGCTCAGTTGTATTATTACTCTAATTGTGTAACGTTACTATATGCAGTTGGTGTACCTACTACGGTTTACCTAGTCATTTGCCCGTTTGGTATTGCCGGTTTTATTACCCTTATGTCACGTGAAGTAAAATATTGCTTAGGCTAGGAGTGTATAACTGTACCACTTGTAGTTTCAAGGTTTTTGCCTCTCAGATCACGTTTTCTTAACATAAGTTCTTTCCAAAGGACACGCGTTAAGTACATTAACGAACGTCGGAACTGCTTTTACATATGAACTTTAAACATTCGATTGTCGAAGTTGGGAACATAGCATATATAAAGCCCTATGATTTGAATGAAATCTTCTGCAGGGTACACACATTTTGCTATTACAGCATTAAATTGTAAGTAGGTCACGGAAATAATAACTCCTCGTTTACTCAAAAAACTAAGTAAACGTAACACGAACTTTTGAAACTATTCATAGAATATATTATCATGTAAATGGATCCTTTACAATTTCAGAGCGTCGACCTGCTTACAGTAACAATTTCCTATGCAATATCTACGCTCTAGCTCTATTATGTTACTAATATCCGCCGTAATGCTATTGTGTAATCAGTCAGAATTGTTAAAAATATATGAAATACAGTAGAGAGTTGGTTTAATTCGTATAAATAAATAAATTATCCGTACAAGTCGACGCGTTTCGCAGTAAAAACGTATTCACGCAGGATTTAAAATTTTCAGTTGATTTTCTTTTCAGCGAATCATTCTTTATGGTCGTAAGTTATTGTCTTATTCGGGCATCCAATACGGTCCACTGCAAAGCGTCCATTTGCACCACTGTTAGTAAAGACGAATCATATTAGCCGCACGTAAGCCGCATTCTGATATTGTGGAACCGCCGTGTATACAAAAATTGGAGCCCTGTCTTCACTCCTGTATTGCAGTTTTGCCGTATAAGCCATGTTTCTGATGTCATTCTCCGTCTGAAACTGGACTCTTTGGAGCTGCGATCCAGGCAACAGCACGTAGTACGCACCTTGGTTGCTTATCACCTCGGCGTCCTGTTTTGGTTCTTCTTCAAGGTTTGCAGTCTCTTTCTCTTGAACGTTTTCTGCTTCTTCTTTATCCTCTTTAGGTTCTTCTGGGACACCATATTCTTTAGGCGGGGAGTACGTGTTAAAGGGAGCGCCGTAGCTATCATCGGGAACGCCGTACGATGTGGCAGGTGGGCTCTGACGGGTTGGTAAGTTGAATTCCTTAGCCGGTCTCCAACCGGCAGCCGGGTATGGCGCGTCACCGCCGCTACCTTCCACTTCTTGTCGTTGCGATCTAAATCTAGCTTCCCTCGAGCGTGGCAGCTCAGCTACCACCGCCGCAGCCAAAAGGAGGACGCAAGCGAAAGTGTTCATTGTCGTGCCTTAGACAGTTTAAAACCGAATGATGCCTGAACAAATACCATGAGCGCTTATATAGGTATTGGAACATGTGATTTTTAATAAGTTTCCGTAAAGTCCGGATGTGTCATGAATCGATATGCCGAGCGGAGTGACATTGGCCCCCTAACTGAAGATCGTTGTGTAACGAGCGCCGATTAGGAGGTGTCATTGTTCATCGGGTACGTGCGGCGGTTCCCGGCGGCGATCAGCTTACAAAATGCCTAACGCAGAGTTTAATATTCATGGCTCGTGAAATCTTTCGCCGGCACTAATTAGGTCTCGGCGCGGCCATTGTGCGAGGGTTACATTTGCTCCTTTTCATTACTATTCACATGATAATGAATACTTGATCATATGTGATAATCAGCTTAGGCAATCTTTCTACGCTGCGCAATCGGGCTTCGAATAAAGAAGTTGAGCTGCGTGCTTGCTCTAAATGCCTATATTAATCGTGCCTATATAATTTCTCGATATCATTAAAATAAGAAAGAAATTAAACAATGGTTTCCCTTTGTTCAACAATGGCGTTAAAACTTAAATACTCACTCCAATCTGACTATTATAAAAATCTATAAAATATATTTTGGGTTGCTAAAGTACAAGAATTGTGACCTTCTTATCGACATACAATCTTTTGGAAAATGAATAGTTGAATTTATATGAAACTAGGTAAGTAGTATGCAAATTCTTCGACAGTTAAATTGTGAGGCTGTACCGATTGTCAATTAATGCGTACCGTGTTACACGTATTACCTTGCTCATCGTAAATGGTACGACTCGATTATGCGATATTAATCGTGATATCGAACCGTCGTGAATACTTAATGTCAAATAATCTATTCCTATTTGGGAACATTAATCCTTAATATCAATTAAACGGTAAACTATAATCAAGTATGTTTTTATCAGTCTATGTTGTTCACACCAGATGTTAGCATATATAGAACCTTGTATTAAAAATCGATTTTAGATTTAAAAAAAGTCACTGCCAGGACTTGAGCCGGTATTAATAGCATTTTTTATCCATAGATTTTTTATATATGTACATTTAATGTAATCATGTGAAAATAGTAAATCTCTTAAATATACATTCTTACATTTTAAAATGTTTTCCTCGGAATTATCTATGATATGGTTTTAGTTCTTTTATCAAAATTGTATTAAAATATAAAAAATATATTATCGATACTAATTTATAAAGCTGAAGAGAAACAGAGAAAACTATTCGTCTTTAAGGGTTGAGTGCGCTGTTAAACGGTTTAAGATACCAAATAGTATGTATAAAAATCTCTTTATATATATGTCACTATATTCTTATTTTAAGATTAACTTGCAAAAGCGCCGGGACAAAACGTTAAAGTGTTTTATTTAAATATAATTTTAATCAGAAGTACGTAGGCAGCACGTGTGTGTTACTTTCACACATTTTTATTAACGCGTTTAATGATTCTTTGACGTTGAATTTCGCAGTAAACATATCATTTTAATTTGTTTATTGTCAGTAGCTTGATATTATGACAATTGACACATGTCAAAAATGAGGAGAGTAAGGTGATGTGGGTGATATCTATGGTACCTTAAATACGGGTCAGTAACAAAACTAATTAAATAACTTAACAATTCGTTAATAATTGCTTCATTCATACCAACTCATTCAGCGTTATATTTTTTAGAACGGTTTGTAACAGGAAAATTACAATCGCTTACAATTTTATGCAATCAATTCACGAACGGAGAAGGCTGCAGTTCTGTTTAGGTGCCTTCCTGTTGACTTTAGAATAAAGGTCGCCGTGACATCACTATCAAAATTCTATTTAAAAAAAAACTTACTGGTACAACTAATTGCTGCTCAGTTCTAAGAAAACAATTTTAAAATAACCTTACGTCTTAGTTAACATTATAGATATTGTTCTTTTTACTTTATTACACTGTAATACTTAAACGGAATTTAGTAGGAAGTTGATCACCAAATGCAATTTATACTTAACTCCTCTCTTGTTTGAAAATATGTACAATGTGACATCATTTATAATTAGTTGCCTACAGTACAGTCGGAATAATAACTAGCATCTCGGTTTCTGCGCAAAACTTAATTCCGTTCGCTTCCATTTAATCCGATTTCGTCGCTAACTTTATATGAGACAAGCTTCGTTATATCGTAAGTGTAATAAGTTTTTACTACTTTTGTTTAAATTAGTACGTTGGTAAGCTTTTTTGGTTTGGATTGGGTGAAACAATATTACATTCGATTTTGTATTTTACATCGTATTTTAATGCATTACGGATTACGCATAAAAGTGTCATTGACGGACATCGAACTCAAAATGCGAATAAAAGAAGTATCGTAGCTTCTAGATTAGAACGCCAAAAAATATACAATGTTTAAAAGAACTAACAATTTTATACAGATTTATCGCGCTAGCCCACATATGTGTGTATGTCAGAGGGAATATTTTAGGCTTTTCAATGCTTTATCGGTTAGGCATAAATCTTTTATGTTTTTAAAAACAAATACATACCTAGTAGTTTACGCGAGTGATAAAATAAAACACTTTGAACGCAAAATGTATTACTTAAACTTATTTACAAATTATTTTAACTACGGCCCGACGTTTAGGATGCTTTGCAGCAGCCGTCTCTTCGTGACCGCGGGTTAAATATTTTGTAAATAGGTTTAACTATATTTCGCGTTTTAAACAGTTAGTTTTTTGATAGTTAGTGTGTAGAATAAAAAATTAAACGCGCGAATCGTAAATTCTAGTAGGTATGTTCCTCACGAGTTGACATTTCCCATTCATTTTAAAGGTTTAGTATTTGAATCACTGCGAGGAAATGAGATCGTAAATTCGAGAAGGCCGTTTGCGGTAAAAAGGTTAAATATCGTATTGTTTAACAAAGGACACTTATTGTTTTCCAATATTGCCGATGCGAATATTATTTATTGAAAAAAGCTATAGAGCTCAGAAATAAAACTCACTATTTTATGATTTTAATGTTACATTTAATCGGTATCAATTTAACGTGCGTATATAACACATAACTTCGTATGAACTAGAGACTACTTTTTAGAAGCCATCGGTTGCTAGAATGCATCAAAATATGCTATATTTAATTTAGAACAGTTTAATTGTTAGTGGTATATCTATACTAATATATAAAGCTGAAGAGTTTGTTTGTTTGTTTGAACGCGCTAATCTTTAATAATAATTATTTTTGTGTTGGTTAGAGCATTTATCGAAGAAGGTTATAGGCTATACACATTCACATTGCGATGTGGCTAATAGGAGCGACGATACAGCGCGAAATGTGAACAAAACGGGGGAAATATATCATCCCTGTAGGTTTCAGATGCGTACGCTGCGAAAACAGTTCAAGAAACAGAAGGATCATTCCTCTTTAAATAATTAAAAAAAATGTCCGGGACGCTATATGTCTATCTTTTAAGATTAACTTGCAAGAAGGACCCGAACGACGGGATACGAATGTCGTGGGTAACAACTGTAATGAGAAGGAAGGATGAGTTTATGAAATTATCAGGTTTTTTTCTGTTTCTACTTTTTAATCTACGACCTAAGGTCGAAAATCGGAATTTGCTCCTTTAAAATTGAATTCTTCATTAAACCTGCATGTCTTATTACTTTGAATATAGAGAAAAATGCAGCCGTTCCGTTTCTCAACTTTCGCAATAAAGATCAATTCGAAGCCATAACTAAGTTCTCTCGTGCTCGGAGACATTCGTACAGAGGGAAATCCACGGATTGATTTTATTCGGGAATTTCGTGTTCGGTAATTCATTTAAAAGTCAGAAGGGTGAAATATTTTCCCGCTCCAATATGTTTGCAAATGGGCTCAAATGTTTGCGATCGATGCGAGAATTGTTCAACGGATTATTATTTTCCGCTTTCGGCAATTCCGTTGGTGCGTGATGAAACTCACCACATTAATAATAGATAGACATATATAAGGTTTAAAGGTGTATATCTCTACTTATATTACGCTACAAGGAAAAATGCATATTATAAAATAGCTTAATTATGATTTGTTTGTCTATAATAGTAGTTGTGGCGTATATCTACTCATTCCCTACCTGTGAGAATTCTGTACTATAAGTGTTCCAATATTTATCATAATTTCCAATGTTGCAGTGACGTCCATCTGTCAATATAAATTTTCATACAATAGTTACGAGTAATGTTTAACACGGTTAAAAAAACGAATGTATCCAAGGCAATCTTCCGACTAAAGAAAGTAACAGTATCGTGTTTTTTGCAATCCGGGGTGGTTTATCATTAAATAAAGATGTACAAATCGAGATCAAACACGACGCTGTAGCAACATAACCGAAAATACGAATAATGGCGTCTCTTAGCGAATGAAAAGAGCCTCTCCGCTATTCACAAATTGTGATTCTGCTTTGAATAGCATTTGTAAGGATCGTATTTCAATGCCTCCAACTCGGTGTATTTAAGACGCACTCCGGAGTTGTCCTCTGCCTTCGAATTTAGGGCTTTAATTGTTCAAATGAAAGGATTTCCAGTAATTGGTTTGTTGTCGTGCCGATTTAATTGATAAACATTTTGTACAGTCGACGTAAACACTGTTGTCAGTCATCTTGAAAATATTATAGTAAGTGTCTCGTTAGAACTCTTTTTAAAAATCTTTCAAATTTACATACCTAATAAAAAAAAATTAATACCTCTTAAAAAACTTTAATTATTTAAACCATGTTTTTAAATTGAGTCTGTATTGTTTTTTTTTTCCTCAAACTTAATCGATTGAGAGGTTTAAGTAGAGAATTAGGCATATATATGATAAAAAAACCTGCAATGACACCTTACGCTTTAAATAAAAGAGTCGGTGAGGTTACAAACTTTGATTATGTGTGCAATATAAGATTTTCTTACATCTACAGTGTTTTTGAAGTTAAGTCAATTCTGTCTGTTTACTCCTGTTTCTGTTACTAAGCGATATTT